TTTCCGTTGCTAAGTGTGTGAGACAGCTGCTAAGTGAGCTTGGCCCCGTTTTACAGCCTTTCTTGCTCCCGTTGTTAAGTGGATCACTGCGGCTGTTAAATTAGTCACATGGTTGTTCAGTGAATCCGGCTTGCCCCCGGTTGACTTCGCTTGTCAGAAGGTGGCAAAAGGGGATCCCGTGACCCCGGGAGACGCTGTGACCGTCGTAAATACGAGTCAGTTGCCAAGGGTCTGAATTTTGATCCTTTGACCTATGGAGACGCTGCAATGGTCGTTAAGTATGAAAAACGTGACACTGAGGGTTTGACACCCCTGGTCTAGATCTTTTTGGATCCTAAAATGATCCAGGGCCTGGAGGCTAAAACATACAAAGAACGGCTGCGGGACTTGGGTTTGGCTAGTCCAGGGGTAGGCCACCTTGGCTCTTTTATGACTCGTGGACTTCAACTCCCAGAATTCCTGAGCCAGCCACGCTGAGGGGAATTGGAGAGGTTTCCATGCTGAGCCAGGCTGGCTGAGGAATTCTGGGAGTTGAAGTCCACCAGTCATAAAAGAGCCAAGGTTGCCTACCCCTGGGCTAGTCTAAATAAGAGAAGAAATAGGGGAGACAGGATAGCAGTGTTCCAGTATTTGAGGGGCTGCCCCAAAGAAGAGGAGGGGGGTCACGTTATTCTCCAAAGCACCAGAGGACAAGAAACAACGGCTGGAAACTGATCAAAGAGAGAAGCAACCTGGAATTAAGGAGAAACTTTCTAACAGTGAGGACAATTAACCAGTGGAACAGCTGGCCACCAGAAATCGTGGGCACTCCATCACTGGAGGCTTTCTAAGAGAGACTGGACAGCCATTTGTCTGAGATGGTATTTCTCCTGCTTGAGCAGGGGGCTGGACTGGAAGACCTCCAAGGTCCCTTCCAGCTTTATTCTATTCTATTCTATTCTATTCTATTCTATTCTATTCTATTCTATTCTATTCTATTCTATTCTATTCTATTCTAATCAAAAATCATAGTAGCTGCAAAACTGAATATGTGTCCTTCCTCATTGTAATGTGTGGCTACCAAGTAGTTCCAAAAAACCCATTTTTTTAATTATGTTCAATTATCACAACTTTGTCTTCTTTTGCTTAAAAAACAACAACACCACATTGTGAAAAACGTTAAAAGAATGGAGAAGCCATGCTGTTTTTTTCCGGGAAATCACTGAATACAAGATCAAATCAGAAATTCATGAACATTGCTCATTTACCCACAATTCATAAAGCAACCCTAATTTTATTTAATGCATTGTCTGGGAATTTCTCATTAAAGCCCTTCCCATGAGCAAGTCACCAAGTTTACAAAGCTATCCATTTGTGCTTTTGAGTCTGACAAAACCTTTTTTTTTAAATATATTTTTGGGCTTCAGGCAGGAAAAGACAAAACCACCTTGTAGGCTGGGCTTAATACCTGAAGGGACCAGTGGCTCAGCCTGTCTACCACAGCTTCAAGTAGCTTTCAGAGACTTAAAAGACGTTATTAAAATGACTTTAAAAAGAGCGATTCCAATGAATTACTCCCTCTGAATCTGCAACACCCCCCTTTCTACGTCAAGCCCATGCAAGCTGAATGCACTGCAATGTGAGTTGCTTCATTCATTTTTTCTACGCAAGATCCCGAAGACTGGAGACTCTGAAAAGGTTTTCTGGCAGTCCTTGGGCTTTTCCTGTAATCTTGGCAAGCAGCATTTCAAAGCCACCATGCTTGACCTTTGCAAGGGGAAAGCGGTCCAGGCTTTTTGATGGAATTGCCTCTGAATGACCTGCCTCATTCAGAAAAAACCAAACTTGTGAACTGGCGGGGAAGCAATGAGTGGGACATCCACATTCATGTGGACGGAAAACCTGGGAACGGTCGGAATAAACAGCCTCCAGCTTGTCTCCGGGCGCACTCTGTGGTCGGGCACAATGATATTATTCTTTCCCCCTGCGTTCATATTTGCACAAAGTCATTCAAGGGGTGGTCTAATTTACTGCCTTTGGCCACGCCCACCCCAAAACAAATAAACATAACTTAATGGGTTGTTGTGATCTATACGAATAACACTTTCCTTGTTTCCATGCCGACCCTAAATGTTCAACGAATCCAATTGAAGTCATAGATATTTTCCGGCTTACAGATGCGAATCAGACCCCAATTCTTGGCCTTCCCTGGTTTAAAAGAGTAGCCAAGAGCCAACTGTGTGAATGGGGTTAAAAGTGAACATTGGCTTGCAACGAAGAATACGTCCACCGTTCTCAAGAGAGGGAAGGATTTTGAAATAAAACCATCCCTGTAGCTCACCCTATCCATCAATCCTTAGAAGTCTCCAATATTACATTTTTGGGGGAAAGGTTTGGAAATTGGACAGTCTCTTGGCTCAAAAGTATTTCTGGGTAGTATAAATTATCTGGGTGTATTCAAACCATCAAAAAAAAAGCCAATGCAGTCATAGGCTGCGTTAACAGAGGGACAGAATCGAGATCACACGGACTGCTAGTACCGCTTTTTTTTTAAAGGCCTTTGTAAGATCACACTTGGAAGACGGCATCCAGTTTCGGCTGCCACAATATAAAAAAGATGTCAAGCCTCAAGAAAGACTGCAGAGAAGAACATCAAAGAGGCTAAAACATATGAAGGACGGTTGCAGGAATTGGGTATGTCTAGTCTAGTGAAAATAAGGACCAGGGGTGACACCATAACTGGTTCCAATATTTGATGGGCTGCCACAAGGAAGAGGGGGGTCCATTCTTCTCCAAAGCCCCTGAAGGCAGGACAAGAAGCAACGGATGGAAACTCATCAAGGAGAGAAGCAACCTGGAACTAAGGAGAAATTTCCTGACAGTGAGAAGAATTAACCAGTGGAGCTCCTCGCCTCCAGAAGTTGTGGATGCTCCATCACTGGAGGTTTTCAAGAAGTGATTGGACAATGATTTGTCTGAAATGGTGTAGATGTCATGTGTCTGATTAACGGAACACTTAAAAGGACTTTCAGGCATATTTTCTCCTAAAAGCATTTATTAAGGTTACAGAGACGTCAGTACAGCATGGTGGAAATGCTTAGGTTTGGCTTCTCTTCCCTTACGCATAACATTCCAAGCATTTCCCACTCCCTTTTTTGGGGGTCATGGTTCACATCTTCCAATCAACTTGGAAGATGTGATTTACTTCCGGTTTCTTTCTCCCGGGCTATCCTTATTCTCCTCCCTTTTTCCCTGTTGCCTGGTTTAACTATAAAAATACCAGACAGTTCTGCATATTGTCAAAGCAAGAATATACAGTATTTGCAGCGTTGACAGTAGTAGGATCTCCTGCTTGAGCAGGGAGTAATAGTAATAATAAAGTTGGAAGGGACCGTGGAGGTCATCTGGTCCAACCCCCTGCTCAGGCAGGAAACCCTACACCATTTCAGACCAATGGCGGTCCAGTCTCTTCTTAAAAACTTCCAGTGTTGGAGCATTCACAACTTCTGGAGGCAGGTAGTTCCACTGGTTCTAACGGTCAGGAAGTTTCTCTTTAGTTGTAGGTTGCTTCTCTCTTTGGTTAGTTTCCATCCGTTGCTTCTCGTCCTGCCTTCAGGAGTTGGACTAGATGACCTCTGAGGTCCCTTCCAACTGCTTGTTATTCTGTTCTGTTAAATCTGATTTCAGTGAGGCTTACAGCACAGTAACTGTTTTCCCTTCTGAAAACTGACTTAGGAATCCTCCTGTGAAATATGTCGGAGGATTCAAACCCTGACAGGGCCCTGACTCCCTGAAAAATGATAAATAAATACATTTGGGTGGAACTCTTCCCCTCCCTGCCAAAGAAAATGAATGATTTCATGGGCGATTAAAGTTAAGAAAGATCATTTTTAACAATTACATTTTTAATCTAGGCATCAAGTACGAGCCTAGAATCTTGCGTCTTTATAAAATGAGATTTTCCCATCAGAAACAGATAATAAAACAATCCATTCTCAAACCATATTTTTTAATGGGAAGGATAAACCCGCCCAGTTTTCCTATGTTAGCCACTCACAAGATTTATTTTGGATCAATGCTTGTGTGTTTTTGTTTTTTTATAGCAACTCATGATTTTGTAGCCAGGCAGCTCCTCCAGGCTCAGCAGAAGAGACCAGGGGCAGCAATCCTGGTTTGCATGTCCAAGCCCCCCNTTGCTTCTTGTCCTGCCTTCTTCTGGTGCTCTGGAGAACAGCTTGACTCCCTCTTCTTTGGGGCAGCCCCTGAGATACTGGAAGACTGCTATCCTGTCCCCCCTCGTCCTTCTCTTCATTAAACTAGACATACCCAATTCCAGCAGCCGTTCCTTATATGTTTTAGCCTCCAGTCCCCTAATCATCTTTGTTGCTCTTCTCTGCACTCTTTCTAGAGTCTCAGCATCTTTTTTACATCGTGGTGACCAAAACTGGATGCAGGATTCCAAGTGTGGCCTTTCCAAGGCCTTGTAAAGTGGTATTAACCTTTCACGTGATCTTGATTCTATCCCTCTGTCAGTGACTGACCCAAAGGTGGGTCTAAAACTCACAGCCTCCCTGCGTCTAGCCTGGTGCCGTCATCACAACACAAATTGGCTCTTAATGCTAAATTGGAAACCAGACCTGTCCTTTTGCTACCTAAGGCTTGTTTACAGGGCATGCTAGACGTGTCACCGTTTTATCATATTGTTCTCAGTTGTGTTCTCCTTTCCACTGACAATCCTACTGCAGCGGGAACCATTTGCAAATGCTCAGGATAGGAAAACAAGAATAAAATGTTTGGTAAAAATCACCATGGTTCTCATTTTGCCATTTGCAAGGGTTGTTTTTTTTTTTTGGTTTTTTTAAAAAAATATCTTTTAGGGAGTTTCAGACATGATGTCACCAGTCAAACTTCCTATATTTTGGTGATGGTGGTTGCTAGGCTGTCACACTCTTTAATAGACTTGTGCAAACCGAGGGGATGTATTTTGACTTCTTCCTTAAAAGATTATATTCGATACTCACGTAATCTGGAAGTGGAGAATCAGGAGCAGACAGGGAACTTCTCAGAGACTGCGTGGCCTGTTCCAAAACTTTGTTGTGCTTTTTGGACAACAACGAAAACAAGCTGGAGGGGAAGGGGGAAAAAAACAAGTATATTGTTTTCATAGGAATCAAGGGAAGGTGTTCTTTTTTTATGAAACAATTTAGCGCAGTGTTTCTCGAGCTTGGGAACCTGGAGATGTGTGCCCTGGGGAATTCTGGGGGTTGAAGTCCATGCATCTTCCACGCTGCCAGGCTTGAGAAACATCGATATATAAACTTTACCTTGCAGAGGTAACTTTAAAAAAAAAAAGAGTTTATAAAGTGTTTTCTCAGAAATTGAATTCTACAAAGGACATATTTAGTTTGAAAGCAGAACATTTCCAAAGTAGATCACAAAACAAACATTGTGTTTGGACTGCCAGGAGACACTGCAGATATAAGTTAATCCAGAGCCACAATTCAAGGTAAAGAACTTGGATAATTCCTGCTCTTTAATCCTTTTTTTTTTTTTTCATGAAATTTCCCTTCGTCCCGGCTATCGCGGCAAGTTGAGCATTTATTCTGACTTTTTTTTTTTTGCCACAATCTTAGGACGCTTGATGGCTTAAAAGTATATCCACCTACCACGAATAAAAAAAAATGAACCAAGGGTTAATTTTAATATTTCTAATTCAAAAGCCAGCCCTACGTTTTTTCTGCTGAACCCACCAAAATGTCCTTGTGGAAAAATGAAAAATTTGCTACAGTTTCCTTTAGTTGCCCTAATGTTTTAGTTGTCAAAAAACGTTAGAACAATTACCCAATGGAACCACCTGCCTCCAGAAGCGGTGAATGCTCCAACACTGGAAGTTTTTAAGAAGAGACTGGACAGCCATTTGTCCGGAATGGTCTAGGGTTTCCTGCCTGAGCAGGGGGTTGGACTAGATGGCCTCCAAGGTCCCTTCCAACTTTATTATTATTATTATTATTATTATTATTATTATTATTATAAAAGCGTCAGGAGGGACAAACCCTTCAGTCAAAGACTGAAGCAAAGAAATAGGATTGGAAACCCCAGACTTAAAATCACAGTTGAGACCAAAATTACCACTGCTCAATGAGGCGGTTTGTTAAGTGAGTTTTGCCCCATTTCACAAACGTTCCCTGCGCAGTGATTAAGCGAATGGCTGTCGTCGCTAAGTGGATCACGCGGTCATTAAGCAAATCTGGCTTCCCCCACATTGACTTTGTTTGTCAGAATCCTGCTGGGAAGGTTACAAATGCAGATCACACGGGACCGTGCAGGGTAGGCCACCTTGGCTCTTTTATGACTGGTGGACTTCAACTCCCAGAATTCCTGAGCCAGCCTGGCTCAGCTTGGAAACCTCTCCCTTTCCCCTCAGCATGGCTGGCTCAGGAATTCTGGGAGTTGAAGTCCACGAGTCATAAAAGAGCCAAGTTTGAAGATCCCTACCCTAGGCCTAGAATCTAGACCAGGGCTAGGCAACCTTGGCTCTTTTATGACTGGTGGACTTCAACTCCCAGAATTCCTGAGCCAGCATGGGGGAACTATGGCCCCTTCATGACTGGTGGACTTCAACTCCCAGAATTCCTGAGCCAGCCTGGCTCAGCTTGGAAACCTCTCCCTTTCCCCTCAGCATGGCTGGCTCAGGAATTCTGGGAGTTGAAGTCCACCAGTCATAAAAGAGCCAAGGTTGCCTACCCCTACCCTAGGCCTAGAGTCTAGACCAGGGGTAGGCAACCTTGTCTCTTTTATGACTGGTGGACTTCAACTCCCAGAATTCCTGAGTCAGCCTGGCTCAGCTTGGAAACCTCTCCCTTTCCCCTCAGCATGGCTGGCTCAGGAATTCTGGGAGTTGAAGTCCACCAGTCATAAAAGAGCCAAGGTTGCCTACCCCTGAACTATCACAACGAATGCTTGCCACTGGCCAAGGGTCTGAACTTTGATCCGGGGGGGGGGATGCTGGAACGGTCGTGTGAAAACGGTCCTACGTTGTTTTTTTCAGCGCCGCTGGAACTTTGAACAGTCACTAAACAGATGGTTGCACGCCCAGGACTGCCTGTATATATAACGTTTTAATTCTAGAAAAATAGGGCATTCAAATTCCACACTCCAGGGTAGACAAGGACTGTGGGAACAGGTGTAGAGGTTCAAATGCATCTGCAGGGATTACGGGTCCTGACCCCGGATCTGACCTAGCTCTGGTTTTATCAACTATGGTGCTCTTGAACGTTGGAAAAAGATTGACAGGAGCTTCCATGCTTCAGGAAGTCAGGAGCGTTTTCACTGCTCTCCCCAAATTTGGTAAATGCAACCGATTCCTTGTCTGTGGAGATTCTCAGTCATCCAGGTCAATGGCTGTGCCAAAGGGGCTTTCTCAAAAGGCAGCTGGACTTTCTTGTTTTTCCATGAAGAGATTTTGCTTCTCGTCCAAGAATGGAGTGGAATGGAATAGAATAGGATAGAATAGAATAGAACAGAACAGAATGTGTAGTGGAATAGAATATAGAACAGAATAGAATATAGAATAGAATAAAACAGAACAAAGAATAGAATAGAATAGAATAGAATAGAATAGAATAGAATAGAATAGAATATAGAACAGAATAGAATATAGAATAGAATAAAACAGAACAAAGAATAGAATAGAATAGAATAGAAAATAGAATAGAACAAAGAATAAAATAGAATAGAATATAGAACAGAATAGAACAGAACAAAAAATAGAACAGAATATAGAACAGAATAGAATATAGCACAGAAAAAAGAATAGAACAAAGAATAAAATAGAATAGAATATAGAACAGAATAGAACAGAACAAAGAATAGAACAGAATATAGAACAGAACAGAATATAGAACAGAAAATAGAATAGAATAGAACAGAAAATAGACACTTACAACCTTTGTGCCATCCCCAGGGTCACGTAGTCAAAATTCGGATGCTTGGCAACTGACTCATCTTTATGACGGTCGCAGTGTGTCCTGGGATCATGTGATCCCCTTTTCCGACTTTCTGGCAAGCTGAGTCCATGGGGAAGCCAGATTCGTTTAATGACCGTGTTACTGTTAACAACTGCCACAATTCATTTAACGAGGGTGGCAAGAAAGGCTGTAAAATGAGGCAAAATTCAGTTAACAACCACCTTGCTTAGTGAAAGAAATATTGGGCTGGAGGGCTGCCTGTAAACATTATTTAGAGCAGGGGTCTTCCAACTTGGCCCTTTGATGACTGGTGGACTTCAACTCCCAGAATTCCTCAGCCTGCCTGGCTGAGGAATTCTGGGAGTTGAAGTCCACCAGTCATCAAAGGGCCGAGTTGGAAGACCCCTGGTCTGGATCCAAGCCCACACTTTCATCAAAATGGCCGACTGAGGAATCCTGGGAGTTGAAGTCCACCAGTCATCAGAGGGCCAAGTTGGAAGACCCCAGATTTAGAAGCTATAAGCTATTTATCTGTTACCCAGGCTGATCAAAGCAAGTTTAGCTTTTCAAGCAATTCACTTCACAGGATAACAACGTTTGACGGTGTTTGCAGTTAGCAGGAAAACAGAGGCTCATGTTTCCCTTCCCTTCAAAGAACAACTCACAAGAAATTTTTTTTCTCCTAGCTACAGATGTCATGCCATTAAATAAAGCGGTTCACCAAAGTTAATCATTAAGCCCAAAATACAGATTTCAGATAAAGACTTGGGACTGTTGCTGAAATGATCTCTCAAACCTCTCGATTAAAAAAATAAAATAAAATTCAGAAACAGCACCGATTCATAAAATTAGTGACCACTATTATCTACATGCTATGTTTAGCGTATGGAAAATAAAAGGAGGTTAAGCTCTTCGTTTAGAAAGACGAAATATAATTTAATAGGTAAACAAGGAAAGTCAATGTTCCTGCGTTCAAAAAGGATGTGATTTGGGAAGCTTGTGGAATGGAGTATAACAAAATCAATGCAAAAGTACGTTGAAAATAAAGTAATTATTACTACAAATGGGTTTATCCAGCAGACTAATGTATTCAGCAGACTAACTAACTATCCAGACTAACTTTTTTTTTTTTTAATAACTTCCTTAACGCATTGTGGGAATGCGGTAGACATAATTTAACTTGATTTCTTTGACGGATCTGAAAGGAACTCTCATGTCCTACTAACTAAACTCTGATGACACGACAGTTAAGTGGCCACACAGATGGATTAGATAGATGTGGGAGCCAGTTTGATGCAGAGGTCAGAGTGCTGGCCTAGAAAGCAGGAGACACAATTCCCGGTCTCCCAGTTGGCTGTGTGTGATTTTGGGCACAGCCCAACCCAACTCACAAAGTTGCTATTGTGGGGAAAATAGGGAGGCTGGAATATTAAATGTGATTACTGCCTTGAGTTATGTGTATATAAAAAAAGGGATGTAATAATAATGGGGCAGCACCAGGCAATTACAGGCCAATTACGCATGCTTACCAACAACTTTCCTTGTACCTTGCTCAATAGTAGCAACTGTGAGAGGGATCTCGAAGTCCTAGTGGACGATCCCTTAAATAGGAGCCAGCCGTGTGCTGCAGCTGCCCAAAAAGCCAACACAGTGCTGGGCTGCATTAACAGAGGGAGAGAATCAAGATCAGGTGAAGTGTTAGTACCACTTTACAAGGCCTTGGTAAGGCCACACTTGGAATCCTGCATCCAGTTTTGGTCACCACGATGTAAAAAAGATGCTGAGACTCTAGAAAGAGTGCAGAGAAGAGCAACAAAGAGGATCAGGGGACTGGAGGCTAAAACATATAAGGAAAGGCTGCTGGAATTGGGCATGTCTAGTTTAATGAAGAGAAGGACGAGGGGGGACATAGGTGGCAGCCTTCCAATATCTCAGGGGCTGCCCCAAAGAATAGGCTCTTCTCCAAAGGACCTGAAGGCAGGACAAGAAGCAACGGATGGAAACTCATCAAGGAGAGAAGCAACCTGGAACTAAGGAGAAACTTCCTGACAGTGAGAACAATTAACCAGTGGAACAACCTGCCTCCAGAAGTTGTGAATGCGCCAACACTGGAAGTTTTCAAGAAGAGGCCGGACAGCCATTTGTCTGAAATGATGT